CGCAGATAGACCTGCGGCCGTCCACAGGAAGTGCTACGGTCAGCACCTCCTCTTGAAAAGGGGTCGGCGGCACCCGGGCGAAGCCCTTACAATAAGAAACAAGGGACGTCAAGTCTGGCCAGGCTTGGATTCTCCCGATATCACGAGGCAGGGGTCTCACGCCGCCCCCGCCTCCCCAACCCGACAGAAACCATGAAGTATCTACAGGATTTGATTGTTCAGATGCCACACGATCCTCCATAATGAGGTGCAAGTCCTCCCTATCTCTGATCGTGAAGATAAACCTGCATGGCCCGAGTGGCCTGAAATTCCACCTCATAAAAGAGAGAAATTTACACAACACATCCGGTGTGTTATGTTCCGTAAGAAAACTCTAGATGAGGTGGTACACCATGGCTGTAATTAGTTACTCAATGCTCATGAATTTATAAACACTTGCTTGGAAGGGGCCATCTGGTCGGCATAGACTGAAGGCTCCATAGTACCCATGCTCGATATGCCAATTCATTCCTAGCATCAGTTTCGTCCTTGCTTCAGGGCCCCCGACTGCCCTTTGTTGTTCTTTTCTGTCATTCGTAGATGTGAGTTCTTTTTCCGTGTACAGTTTATCCTTAGTTGCCCTGTTAGCCTGTGGAAGTTCTTTTGCTGGTTCACCCCACTTCAACCCCCTAGAATATCTAGGAAGGGTGAAGGTGGGAGCGCGCGAGATTGACCGCCCGCAAGTTCGTGGATCCAATTGTGGGGCGTTTTACCCTCCCCAAAGACCGGAAGACTCACAAACAACCGAAAATTACTCGTACTTGGACCAGTCGTGACATGTGCAGTTGTACATGGATTCCCCTCTGGACCAACATCTCAAGCACCGGGAGGTCCACGCAGAAACTTCATGTCATGGAGTCGTAGACACCGACCGTGTGAAATTCTGCGCTGTCCAACACAGTCCCATCGCGCGTGTTCTCTCCTGACCTCCTTGCACCGATTTTCATCCACTCACACTCAACCCCCCAACACATATCATGCACAATCAAAAAACAAGATCCAAATCTGAAAAAGAAACATATCATTCATCTTGGAGTCCGGTTTCTTCCACCCCCCCCCCATTCCCCAAAACTCTCCGTCCCAGAGACCGCTCCGTTTCTCCGTTTCCGTCTCCGACCTCGGAGGTGCAGAAGTCGGCGAAGACGTGCGCCGAGTCCTGTCCCGAGGTCACGAAGACCGCCTGGACGCGGCGTCCGACGGTGATGTCCGCCGACGTCGGGGGTCCGACGACGACGCATCGGCGACCGGAAGGAGACGGACCGTGAAGTCGGGGGGGAAGGAGACTGGATGAAACGGAGGAAGGTGAAGGGAGCGACCCGTGCAAAGGATTTCGGGAGATCTGGGGATTGGGTGGAAGAACAAAAGACTGGGTTTCGGTCTCCCTGATGATGTGTGTTTTGGGTGGTCTCAGACTGCTGTCAAGGTCCAGGCGGATTTGAGACCGAACCTCCACGATTTGATGTTCTGAGAAGGACCAGTGAACCCAGAGGGACCAACGGAGATTCCTCTTGCTTTGGTCAAACAAATACTAAGAATGAGGAAACATGAAACCAAACAAGAAACAATCCACCCTAAGAATCCAGGCCCTCAAACAGATAGGGTTTATGGTTCGGGCCCGGACCCCTGCGAAGGTGTCGGCTCCGACCCCTGCCATGGAGAGCCGAAGGATTCTTAAGGGCAGGACGGGAGCACCATGAAACTCGCCACTCGCCACCATTTGCTACCTTTCCAGACTCGGTCCTGCTTGGACCGACCGACTTCTTGCGAGGTCCAGTCGACCATTCGGTGATCCGAAGTTTGTCCTTTACTTGGGCGGTGCCCCAAAGGGTCTGCATCAGGACTTCTCGAGGACTCCCGTGGCGCTTTTCTTTACCGATCACGACCGCTGGAGGCCGGTGTTTCGATGGCCGACCGGTGCCCGCGAACGCGAGCGCGTAACGCGAACAGCGCGCCTCTTTCCCCAAGACCTCCGAGCACTGCGTGGCGACGGCGCGGCTCAGCTCGTTGGATGCCTCGCCCACGACGCACACGCAGAGGCCTCGGTGGAGGTCCGCTGGGTCGGCTGCGGGGTGGCCTCTCGCAGCCGTGCGGTGCGCCTCGTTCGCTCGTTTCTGGTTCGAGCTGCGAAGCGAGCTGCGAAGCGAGCTGCGAAGCGAGCTGCGAAGCGAGCGAACCAGGCCCTATTGAGAACCAAAACACAGAAAAGACGCATAGACGGATAAACGCATACATGATACCAGTACGAGGGGCCTTAAGAGTGCCAGGGAGTGCATGGTTCAGATTTCTTTTGGGCGAACAGAGGCAGCACAGAAGCTAGGGGCCCTCATGACGCCGGCGGCCGGCTGGTCTCCACTCAGAGGTTTTCCAAGTCTGACATCAACATCAACACCACAGAACCACACAGAAAGACGGACACCTCACTTCTTCCATTTTCCATCCACGTCCCTCGAACCCGAACGTCCGAAGGCCGCCTTCGCCCAGCGTAGCTCTCAGCTCGACGGCTGCCTCCTCGGATTTGTTGCTGGGTGAGAAGCTGTTGTAGAGCGCCTGCGGTCGGCGGACGTCTGGCCGTCGAGACCAGCCGTCACGGCGAAGTGGCCGCCATGCACAACGGCGCACCCGGTGGTTCGGAGACCCCGAGACCCCGACGATGGGCGCTCAGCTTCCAACGGCTGCTTCGCAAGATGTGCTGCAGCGCGAACTCGCTGAAAAACACCAATGACGACGTATTTGGGGGTCTGGTTTCGAATGACAACGAAAGGACGTTCCTGAAAACATCCGTGCCGTTCAGAGAGTCTCTCGTTGAGAGAGAACTTCGGCAGACTCGGACGGATGCGTGGGCATCTCGTATTAGGGCTGGTCTTGCAGTCTTGCACATGGACTCTGAACAGCTTGCTACTTCTCCAGTTCTCCTTCTCCAGCCTCTGTTGCGGAATGAAGAAAGTCCATGGCGGAAAGGAAGCACAAAAAGTTAAATGGGTAAGTACCAGCCTCAGTGTTGGAACACAACATGTTCTGAACCTCCAAGAAAGATGATAAATGACACAGAATTGGAACACAGCGTCATGATCATGATTGATTCATCGCTGCTGTCCTGGTCACCTAAAAACATTAAGAACTATACATGTTTGGTGCATGCTTATAAAGATCCCATCATGCGATGCCGTCCGTTTTCAGCGACCTCACTCGGAGCCTGTGGCCACTGGCTATTCGCAAAGTCGAACCGTCACGAGTTCCGTTGAAGACATCTGCAACAGATTAAATTAGCATCGGACAACCCTAATGCCACTCTTTACGAAAATAAGATCGAAATCAACCCTCTGTTTTGGAATTCTTCCGTACTCTTTGTGTTCCATGTCGACATCTTCCTACACATCTTCCCCTTGCCTAACAGCAGCTTCCTCTACTCCGGTCGGTGCAGAAATGCCTGACCCCCGCCCAACACGACGCCAGCCACACCGTGGCGACGGAACTGCCCCGAACGAGGCCTCGTGACGGCCGTCAATTCCGCGCGTCGCGGGGCGTGCGAGGGGGGAGAGACATGCAGACCAGCAGGGAAGTTTCCCAAAGCGGTGGGGGAGGGACCGCAACCAAGTCTTGCTCTCCTAGATAGGGAGCGACTCAAGGACTAGCATGGGTTGTTCCCCAGATTCATCGAAACTACCCGTAGTCCTCAGAGTCCAGTTAGTCCAGTTGACTCTTCCCTATAAAGAAAGGCTCATCTAAATGACCCGAAGTTCGGGTCAGATCCCCAACATCCTCGGACTTCTACCAGCACCCGACTTCACAGGTCACCTGCGAATTTGAGGTCCGCAAAGCATTTCGGAGACCTGTAGAGTCGGGTGCTGCAGATATCAGATAGGGTTCATGTCGCCCAAAGAACTTCCAGTCCCATGGATGACCCCGGAGGTCTGTCGCGATGCGATCCGAACCGGTCGACGAGGATCGCTTGAGATCTGGTCGATTGCCGCCTCGGACGAAGCCGTGTGGTTTTGTCCACCACTCTGCGAGTCCAGTCCACCGACCTCTGATCCCAAGTTCTTCATCAATCGACTGCTCGGAAGTGGCCCAACAAAAACGGTCGGACTGGACTTCTAAACACCTTGCAAATCCACACGAAGTTTCCAGGTCGATCACTGGTCGATTGGGTAGCGATGCGTCGGATTGGAGTGGGTCTTGACAGCGTCCAATAGAAGCTCCCCCCAGGACGCTTGCCCGCAGAATCCGTGTATCAGGAGTTGCAGTATAAAACATATATTGCTTATAAGATACTATATATTTATGATTGATACTTTGGCTATCTTTGGCTTAGCTGTTGCACACGGGGCCTTTCTTGAACCTCAAATCAAGTGCACCCACCTGTTTCTTGTCGCTCCTGAGGCTCCGAGCTGGAGGCCTTTTCGGGCGCGCGCATGGTCCTGGGCGGTTGGGCGGCGGTTGGAAGCGGCGCCGTGTCCGCCGACCCCGGTCTAGGCCGATGAACGTGAGCGTGAGCGGAGCGGGGCCGGTGTGTTCCTGGAACGAGGGACTCAACACACAGTCCTTAAGGAACACTACACGTGGGTCATCCCCCGATTTCAGCCTGACGAACGTGAACAGTTGGAAGAGCAAACCGGTGGTTCTCCAGAAGCAAATGGATGAAAACTCCCGAGTCCCAGCCATTTCCGTAAAGGATTTCAAGAGCTGGCGCCAGAACTTGGAACAATCAGAACTGTTTCTGGTTGGGACTGGGGTTCCAGGTGGACAATTCTCAACCCGAACTAGCACTTTGAGCGGAACAAAAAGAACAATCGGTGTCCTAGAGCACCACGGAATTTGGATGTCCAAGAAAACCACCCGAATGGCCCGAACTCCCTGGACGATGAGTCGTTTGTGATTGAACGTCTTGAGGGGTCCCCTACAGGATGGCCTGATCTCATTTTACTGGACCTGGTCATACAAAAAACCACGACTTGGCGAGGTCAAAGACCAGGTACCGTATGGTACCGTTTTACTGGGTCGGACTGGACTTCTAGGAGTAGTGATTTTTTATGGTCTTACCCTACAGGCCCCGTTCGACTGTTTGTTGGTGGCACCCAATTGCCAAGGACAATTCCGAACTTGGGATCACCGAATCAGACCCATGTGTTTAAAAACATCGTCGGTCTATGTCGGTCGACTGGACTTCCAGGGAGGACATGTCTTAGTCGACACATGTCGACAGTGGAGGACATGTCTTTCCTCGGCTTCTTTGACACCGTCCGACACCACACCTGTCACCTGTCACCTGACGAGGCATTCGGTGGTTGGTGGATGTTGGTGGTTTTTCCGGGACGCCGCAGGTCATCCCAGGCGATTCGCGGTCACCGTGTTTCGGTGACCTCCGAGGCTTCCCCCTGCGTTCGGTTCGGAAGAAACATGAGTACCCACGGCATCCAAACCCAGGGGGCGAGAGCATAGCAGGCCTTCCCTATTCAAATACCAGAGCCAGAGCATCCCAGAGGCATGTTCATAAAATACCTCCGACCAACTGTCCAGTTTTCACACCCAAAGACGCCACTGAAGATGGCTTCGCTTCAGCCCATAGGCGCCTCGTCTCTTGACAAGATCTCCAAAACCTCTGAAACCGCCGCTTCCCCGGACTGGACCCCGGACTGTCGGTTCACAGCGAACTTGAAGTCCAAAGGAGCACGCCACGTCCTCGATGTTTTTGGGCCGGGAAAGGATACGAAATATTCATATGCACACATGTAGGAGCCATTTGACCTCAGTTTTGATTGGAAGTTCGACCATTGTGGGTGGTTGGTCGTCCCAAATAGAGGTCACAAAAGGCTCTATATGAATGGACAGGATTTGTGGCCAAGACCTTTTAGGGTCATCGGAAAGGACACGAAAAGATCAGTTGCACTCTAGATATTGTCTAGATCAATCCAATGCTCCCCATTTTAGGGACGGACTTCCGTTGGCTCTCGCACCCCTTAAGTAGCCCTTTTACAATCACAAGTCCATACTCCATAAATCCTACCCCCTGCAAACTCACATTGGATACCGGGGTTTCAGAATAGATGACACGAACCCAAACATGTCTTTGACAGATCGGGGTTCCATATGACACACCAAACTTGGGGATTGCGCCATCGAACCTCTGATGGGCCGTATTTGAAGACATGGAACTCCGCAACCCGTTCGGTGCCGCGTCCGATCGCTCCGGACTCGTAGCGATGGTTCGTTCGCCCCGTTCGTAGCGAACCTTGTTACTAGTGCTAGGGCCAGTTTCGCCCCGTTCGGTTCGCGTCCGATCGCTCCGTCCCAAAAAAACGACTCTTTGCATCAAAAAGCCCAGTGGTTTGACCGCAGGGCCCCGTCACCGGTCGCGTGCGTGCAGCGGCCGTTGGGGCGTCTTCGGAAGAACGCGCATAGACTGGACGTAGACCCTGATGATATTTCACTGGAACCATATGAAGAGGTTGAACAAAGCGCATTTGAGCCATCTCTCTTGAGGTTTACAGTCCACATGAGGTGGCATTTCTTCACCTAGTCTACAGTGCTCCGCGGGTGCTCCGCGGGTGCTCCGCGGGTTGAAACCCATCTTCCACCGAAGAAAAACCGCCGGTGGAAGAACGCACGAACCGTCGGCTCGGCTGCGGATTCGCCTCTTGCAGCAGGGAGGAGAAGCTCCGCACTGCCAAATCTGCGCGGAGCATGAAGACGAAGGCAGTTCTACAACACCAACGGTGCGGGTTTTTATTTTCGTGAGTCTTTTTGAGTGGACACACTGTGTGGGTGGAGTCGTCACTGTGTGGAGTGCGGTGTGTTTTCATCGAAGGTCGAGGCGAGTTCTCAGATCTTCTCGGTCTCTCTGGGTGAACGGCTGAAGGTTCTCGTCGTCAGCTCGGCCACGCTCGGGCCCCTTTTCTTCGTTCGCGCCCTGTGCGTGGTCACCCCAAAAATGCCACCGCACTCAGCACTTTTTGCGCAGGAAAAGGACATCGATCAAGTCCTCAAATCGAAAGCGGATCCAAATCTGTAAAAGGCGCAAACCAAGAACCTTTAAGAAACAAGACACAGTCTCAAAAGGAGTCTGAGAAGCGCTCACTGTTCTCAGTCGCGTTGGTCGGGCCCTTCTTGGAAAGTGAAACGATGTCTGAGTTCTTTTGTTGTACTGTTGGACCCACGTATCAAGGTCGTGGGTTTTCGGGGTATTCACATGTTTTTCACGTATAAATATGACACATTCAATACAAACCATGACCATTAAATAGAAATATCCCCATACCAACCTGTGGACCCACACCAGCCTTCGCCCTCCTTTTTTGAACCCATCTCCGGGTCCAACGCCACAGGTCGAGACCGGTCCTTGCTGTGATCCTCTTCGGGGACCTTCTCATTCTCCTCGAAGTCAGACCAAAAGTCTGCACCTCGTGGAGCGAGTCGGATCACCACCGCACCAGCGAGATGTGGAGCGCCAGACCGAGCCGAGGTGTTTGGAGCGCCAGAGACGCCAATGGGCATTCGGTTTTCCGATGTTTTCCGGGTGTCCAGGTGTCCTGGACTGTCACGTTGCTTCGCCTGAAAGATGGCTCAGTAGATTGAGGGATTTTTGAGGAGACATACTCAGACATACTGAGAACAAAAGGGGCCGGATCAAAGTTTTTCTACCGAGATTGGCGGAAGCTTCCTTTCCGAGAGGCGCGAGGCTGGGCAGACAGAGCGGACGAGGGGGTGCGGCCTGATTCGGCCTTTCTTTCTTTGCCAAGCAGCCGTAGGGGCAAGAGTCCTCTGACGAGGACCCACACTTCATGCCGCAAGGGCAGTTGTAAGGTTCTTGCACTTCCTCCTGTGCGACCCAGTCGTCGTCCCACTCTCCCCCCGAACCCAGCGAAAGAAAGCGCACTCAAGCTCACAAAGTCAAACAGAAACCCGTTTCAGTCCCTCAGTCTCTGTGGACATTTTTGGAGTCACCAGCGGTGTGAGGAACACTCCTTTTCTCCGACTCTGGTTTCCATGAACGTCCAGCAGTTATAGTAAGTGACATCGCCATACCGGTCGTGGAGGAATGGCTGCGACGTCTCCTTTTCTGGAAGGATGGCTGCGACCAGAATGCCCAGCGAGAAGGCGAGGGCGGCTTGGAACGCCTCAGATGATGAGAAACAACACGGCTAAGACACCGTTGGTCCTTGCCATCGGGCAATTGAAGGAGCTTAGCAACACCTTGGACTGTGCACTGCAACAGTCGTTGGACTCTTGCAACAACTTGCAGGCCATGGAACTGCGCTCAGGAGGAAGTGGCTTGTCTTGATCGAATCACCGAGTGCCAAGTAGACCAGAATAACGACCTGGGTCAATCTCTTTCAAGGTGTGTCTTGTGTTGCATGATGTAAGAGGCATGGTCTTCAATGATCAACCCCTTTTCATCATGCTTTCAAGTCCGGAAATGGCATGACTATAAACAGGAGGGCTTCTGTTCAATCTTTCATCACTAGCTTTACTAGTAACAAGTGCACTTGCTACTTAAACTTAGTAAGTAGCGTAGCGATGCACTTGCTACTTACTCGTAGCGATGCATCGTTGCAATGCAATTCTTGGCTGGGCGGCGACAGCTGCAAGGATGCTGAAGTTTCGACGGTCGCACAGGGTTTGCACCTGCAGTCAGCTGAGGAGAATCACCGATGTCAAGACTGTCGCGATGGAAACAGGGTGCATTCCAAGACAACCAAGACAACCAATGTCCTATAAATCACGTGAGACATTAATACACACATTACATTCATGATCTCATTCCAGGTACGATTTTTGATTCCAACAAGAAAGAACGCTCCCTTTTTTCTTGGCCGTCGACGTCCAACCCCGCGGTGTCGACGGACGCGTCGTTCTCTTCACAAACACAAGCTCCGTGGCATCGGATGGGGGGTACCCAGCGTGCCAACCGTCGACCCAAACACGACCTGTCTGGGGACTGGAAGATCCCACCGAACCATGGATGGACCTGATGTCTCCACCTCTCCACCACCCCAACTGATCAGTAGATATGCCAGTTCCATTTCAGCTGTTCTGAAAGATTGAAAACACATTGAAACCCTGAATACAATGAACAGATACGAAAAGAACCTGAATGCAGTGAAATCTCCTTATGTAAACAAAACATCAATCCCATCCTCGTCTTTCGAAAGTGTTTCGGTCGCCTCAGAGCTCGGCTCTTCCCCATGATCTTCACCATGTTTTCTTTTTTCGTGGCACGCTCAACACGACTAGCTGCGCGGTCCGCCCGCGAAAGGACCGCGCGAGAAACAAGCGAGTTCAAGCCACTCCTCAAGGTCTTATGACAAGCCTTTCATGACCAGCCTTAGGGCCTTGGTTTGGGCTCTAGGCTCTTGAGACTCATGTGATGTCTGTTCAACCCTGCCGTCGAGCAGCAGTGGCCAGGAAATTCTCAAACTCATGGATCTTCTTGGGCTTGTCCGAGGTCCTCCAGATCACCAGCTCACCGTGCGATCGGAGCCCACGCACGACTCACATCCATGAGCCTTCGAATCCTTCGATAGATCTGAGTTTGAGAACGCCTGATTTTGGAGTGTGCCTCAACAAAAGGGGGTTGGCCTACCAACTGCTATTCAGTCATGTTCATGTCTATTCTTCTTCCTTCCGGGATCTCTTTTTGGAAAACACCTGCCCTCTTAGTATTCGGAAGACACCGAACCAAACACGTTGTACCTGTCTTCAGGACCTCGTCCATCATGCGTCCATCATTCCGCCAACATTCCTTCTTTTCATCGCACACGAGATCGGACCCAGAAAATCCTCCCCTCACTGTGAAATTGCAACATTTTTCATATACCAGGACCCTCCAAAAGGTCTCCTCTGATGGCTTTTGCAGACTGACCTGTTGGAGGACACTCCATTAAGCACCCCTTGGTGACTCCTGGATGTTCCATTTTCATGGTGTTTTTGGGGTTCCAACCCATTTCTCTACACATGAGCAACACCCCCAACACGATGCTCAGCCGCCTGAGGCATTGCTGCATCATCGACCACAGCTGTACAGCGCCACAGGCCACCACCGGTGCCAAGAACGAACGCCTCGGATCCGGCGACCGCACCGACCGCAGCGGGTCCCGACGGGACCGAGGATCGGGACGAGGTCGGTCCTTGGTGGGTCCCGTGGCGGATAGCTAACGTATAGCTAGCGGTCCGTGGCGCAAGTAGCAGGCGTTCGTCTTGAACTGGTCTTAGAGCGTTTCCCGAAACATCTCGAAACCAAATCTCATGAGTAGTGGGGGCGCTTCTTCAAGGAGGAGCTTCCTTGAAGAAGCGTGCGCTATCCGCTACTTAAGCTACTAGCTACCTCTCCCTTACTTATTTATAGTTTCGCCGCGTACTTCATGAAGTAGAGAGAGGGAGGGAGCGGACTTGAAAAGGGGATGTTGAGACCTCCAAGGTGATTCCTTCTGCACCGCCGCATCCGCCGTCGATGCCGCATCCGCCAATAGGGTTGAAGGACCACCCGGGGTCCTCTAAGGCTCTTTCAGGGTTCCTCCAATTGGTTGAGATCCAATGGCCGCCCCAAACAAAGAATCGAGTGCCATCCATCGTTCAACCAGAAAAGGACCCAAATCCATCAACGTTTGACACGACAACGGCGGAGCCTTAAGCTCGGCAGCGTCCCACGCGGACAGCGTCCGCCGCGAACGCCTTCGCGTTCGCCGCTCGAAGCGAGCGGTCGGGGGGGCTAACCGCCCAGCCGTTCGCCACTCTCGCCTCTCTCCTCGCATGTCTCGCGTCGGTTTTGATCTCAGGGGCGGAAGGATCCAGGCGGCCAGGGCAATGGCCATGCATTTCGCCAGCTCAAGACCTTGGGACACGGACCCCGCGAACGGGGAACGCGCGCGCGCGCGCGCGCAGAACAAACGCTCCACACGCGCAGGCCTCGGCCTGAACGGCTGTGGCCTGGAAGCTCCGCAGCTCAGTGGCTCTCGGAGCTTTTTAGGGTAGGCTCCGCAGCTCAGTAGGCCATGGGAGAGGGGAGAAAGTAAGTGAAAGAGGGGTTGAGAAGATGACAGGACTGGGGAAAAGTCGCTGGATCGTCACCAGTCTAAGGGGTATCGTTTGAGATGAAGAAACCAGCTAAGAGATGGGTGTGAAACATGGAGACATACGCATAAATGAGTTCCTGCCAAACAGTCTCTACCAGCACCTTCATGTCGGGGTCACCTGGAAGCCCCTACAACCTAGGGATCTCCAAACAGGACATCCCTTTGAAGGTCCAGGTATACTAGGTAGACATTCCAGCCGGCCCCACCTCCAACTCCCGTCACGCTCCGTTCGCTCTGTGCGTTCCGTTTGCGTCTGCGTCTTGCTGTTCCTTCACCCCAGCGGGGTCAGGGATCTCTTTCATCGAAAAGAAGATGCAGTCCCTGGAACGATGGAACTGGCACTTCCAAGGGGTGCTCAATGGAGAGCTATTTACGTAGGGTGGGGTAACTCCATTTGGACACCCATTGGATGATCCTGGGAAGTGGAACACCGCCGGTTTGTGGCGGAAAATGGTCTGTTAGTTCCAGGGAGTGTCAACAAGCTTTCAAGCGCTGATTTCTGCAGCCGATCGGCCTGGAGACATAGTAGTTGCGAAGTTGTGCACAACCACGGATAGTAGGATGGATTTCTTGTGAGTTTTGCAGCCTTTAGCGCACTCAGAGCCGGTAACTGCAGATGCAAAGCAGGCATACATGACATGTGATATGTACATGAGAACAAAGCAACCTACCGGCCTATGATGTCTACCTCTCATGGAGTTACATCCAGGCTTTGAGAACGTTGCTCTTCAGTGCTTGCTGAGTTGATGCAGGACTTACGGAGCAAACGTAAACCGCTGCTGGCGTCTTGACCAACATTAAAGAATTAATCACTTACACTATATATACCATAGCATGTCAAAACCCAGGCATGCCAGGCTAGCTGCTAGACGTCTAGACGCCCTAAACTAGACGTAAAACCACAATGAGTCACCACTAGATCCATTCGCTCCCATCCCCACCCCGCTTTGCGCCTCGGTGTTGCCATGGCATTCCCGAACCTCCGGCGACGCCGCATGTTCCGCACTTAGACTTCGCGTCTTTTTGATTCACTCCAACCATCTCCAACCCGTTGCGTGTCGTTGCCCGTTTGAACCGTCACGGTGTCTTTAAAGGAGCTCTCAAGGTCTGAATCGGGACCGATCGATCGTCCTCGTCGCGAGCTCGTCCTGGGCGATCCGATCGATCTCTAGAGCGAGAACGAGGTGAACAGCTTTCTGACTCATTTCTTCCCTTTAGTTCCACTTGAGGCCAGGGGGGGTGAACGAAAGCTAGCCCGGCTAGCCACTGCGAAGCAAGAACGACTCCAACTTTTCGTGACCATTGAGCATTCATCAAGATTCAATCAGACTTGCCGCCTCTGCTCACCAAAGAAGACTCCCACAAACCCCGCCCTGCGAAGGGGTCCACAGGGAGTCCGCGCGCCACTTCCCCCCTTTTCTGGAGCAAGCTCGATGTAAGGTCGGCTCCAGTTCTCAAGTTGCATTCAATTGGCGGATCACCCCTGGCACGCAGTGAAACGTGACGAGATCAGGTGACGTTTCGCCTTTTTTGGTTTGGGATCATCCCAGCCCGAAATGACGCCCTTCAGACCATGATTAAAACAAAAACAAAGAGGGATGAAGAAGGGGGAAAGGATCATTGGCCATGTTCAATGACCAATCTCCTTATGGATGCGTCCAAAAGAATCCAAAACATGCCCAGGGCCATCCAGTCGCAAACAAAAGAAAAACTTCGTTGGGGACTTATAACCTGAGGCATCATATATATATATATATATTAGGTCATTAGGTAGTATACTGACGCATTTTAGGGGATTCAGTGCTTCCAATAGTACAGAAACTTCAACCCAAACCACCGAAATCGGCTGGTCCATGAGACCTTACCAACCAAAAAGATACCTTTGGGGACTAGGACCTCTTTGCCTCATGTCTGCGCAAGAAATCGAGTGAGATTCTCAGTTCTCCTGCCGCAAAAAGTGAAGTGTGTCATCTGGAGACATCAAATGGTGTGATCATGTCTGATCCATCTAACATGTTCCATAGGCCGCTAGTAGGTTGGAGGTCAGCGCTAGGAGGCCATCGTTATTAGGTTCGTTAATGTTCTTTAGGGAATCTTTTTTTCTATATGTGCACACTGTGAGATGAACGTCCCATCTGCATCCATCTGCGTCTGTCGCGGAGCTTCATGGTGCTTCGCGTTTCTGCATGTGTTCTCTTGAGACGCCTGGGACAGCTCGACTAGCGCAACATCGGGACTCCTCCATCATCCAATCTGGCAAGGGAGCATGAGCTGCTTGATGGGGGGTCCAATCTGAACTGAATCCCCATCCAACCTGGATCATCCTGTAGCAACTGTCCAATCGGGTTCACATTCACCAACATCAGCATCCTGCCACCACCTGCCTTTCACCCAAAGAGATCAACCCACAGAACTGCGAACTGCGCTCCAGAAAGCCGATTCGGCGTCTACAGGGGCCTTCGAGGGACACTTCAGGGTATTCCTAACTTCAAAGAAACCCCCCTACCGCGTCGGGACCGAAGATGACCGTGACAGCTCGTTACCGAGTCCAGTCTGGACAGTTCCATGACCGAAAAAGCCTCGTTGGAGCCGATATGTTCAGTGGCATTCGGCAGGGCTTTGGTCCCCTTCTCCTCCCATTCAAAGAGTCTTCAACTAGGAGCATTTCGGGCATCGCTACTAATCAGGAGCGATCGGACGCTACGTTCGAGGCTCCTGGCATCGCCACTAGTAACAAGAAGCTATTAGGAACAAGTGCATCGCTTCTAGTAACAAGTGCCTTACTACTAGTAACAAGAAGCTACTAGTAACAGCAACCGTCATCGGAGGCTTCGGACTGAGCGTCCCCGTCGGTGCGGGCAGGAGGGAGCTTGTAGTCGTGATAGGCGGCTGGAGGAACCTAGTGCTGAGATCGCAGG